GGCCGAGGGCTTTCCTTTTAGGCTGCTTTCCAAGAGGATTCCTCCAAGCTCTTGAAGGACGGAGGATGCTCACCCATGCTGTTCGGCCCCTCGGAGCAGGGTGGGGCAGGGGAGCTGGCGCCTGCGCAGGCTGTGAACATTTGCGTGACTCCCTGTGGTCAGCCAAGAGCCGCACTCCTTCCTGAGGCGAGGCCTGGAGTGCCTAGTCAGAGTTACTGGTTCACCTTCTGCAGGCAGGGAGAGGGGAGTCAAGTCAGTGAGGAGGGCTCTCAATTTCTCTTACAAACTCTCAACATGCCCTCCCACCTGCACTGCCTTCCCGGCAGCCCCACAGCCTCCTGTGGTTCTCCTCAGCCCATCACGGGCTGAGATTTTTGCTTTCCAGTCTGCCAAGTCACTGACTGCATCCATCTCTCTGCTGTCAGCTTCTGGAATCGTGTTGCTGTTGTGTCCTCTCCATTCTCTTGTCATTATGCAGCTCCCCTGCTGACGGCGTCCCATTGCCCCTTTAAGTCTAGATATCTGGACTTGGCATTCAAGGCCCATTTTGAGCAGAGTCGGGCCTACCTTTCAGCCTTCAGTTCTCCATGGTGTATGCACTCTCTTCTTGGCAGGGAGGCTTCACAAACATGCCCAGCCTACTGTAAGGGCTCTCCAAGAATGCTCACCTCCTTCTCCCTATAATTCCTTTCCTCTGTGAGGAGCTCGGCAGCATCCCAGCATAAAGCCTTACTAATCCCAGGGACCACCCCCAACAGCCCTGGGGTACAATGAGCCTTCAAGAATTTTAACCACCTATGTAAAGAGACACAGCCAGTGGGCGATGCTGCCTGACCTGACTCTTGCCATTGGGCGGTAATGTTTGTTGACTGACTGACTGACTGACTGGAGGGGGTTTGTAGTTTGTATCTCAGGGATCACCCCCAACAGCCCTGGGGTACAATGAGCCTTCAAGAAGTTTAACCACCTATGTAAGGACACACAGCCGGCGGGTGATGCCGCCTGGTCTGACTTGCCATTCGGTGGCACTGTTTGTTGACTGACTGACTGACTGCCTGGAGGGGTTTATAGCCAATGTTAATGGAGTGGTCTAAGTGTCATTGGTTCCTTGAACCCTGCACTGTGGCAAAGTGGCCTGCAGGCAGGAGGAGGACCAAGACAGGAGGGCAATCTCGGGAGGAGTGCCTCGCAGGCCCCTCACCGCCTCTGCCTGCCTCAGTGAAGTTCCCTTGCGGGAGGCCATGGAGGCGGATAGAGAAGAAGCGCAGTCACCTGAAACGACGAGACACAGAAGACCAAGAAGACCAAGTAGATCCGCGGCTCATTGATGGGAAGATGACCAGGCGGGGAGACAGCCCCTGGCAGGTGGGAGGCGAGGCAGCACTGGCTGCTCACGCACTGGGTCTGGGGTCACTAAGCCCATCCTGGCAGCTGTGCAGAGACCGGGAGGGAAGCACTGCAGTTGCTTGCAGGGGATGATAAAGGTGGGGGATGCTTCAGGGAAAGATGGACACAACCTGAGGGGAGAGGAGCAGCCAGGGCGGGTGAGGGGAGGGGGATGGAGGGGTCTGCAGGAGGGAGGGTTACCGTTTTTAAAAGGAGCTGGAAAGACGCTGCTGTGCTGGTGGGATTTTAGGCAGGAGCCCTGCTGATGGGAGAAGGCTGGAGGAAGGGCTGGGCCTGAGGACACCTCCAGTTCCACATGGGAACTGACACTTACTGGGTTCCCCTCTCTGCCAGGCATGGGGGAGATGGAAACCAACAAATGGGGGTATTGGCCCTGGGAACTCAGACTCTGCGAGGGTCAGGACCCCCAAGACCGGGCAGCCCAGTGGCACCAGAGCCAGGACGGCCCTGCGAGACAGGGGCTGAGGGAGGCCCAGGGGGAACATCCAGGCAACCTGGGGGCCACAAAGTCTTCCTGGAAGACACAAAGCCTGGCCAAGCCTCTAAGGATGAGAGCTCGCGGGGCGATGTTGGGTGTGGCTCAGGGTGACTGGAACAGTATGAACGGTACAGGAACAGCATGGGCAAAGTCAGAAGACACCCTGGGACAGGCTAACTCTGTAAAACGGGCAAAAATAGAAAATACCAGAAAGGGCCTAAGCCTGTGCCTATGTGACCAGGGAACCCAGGAAAGTGCATATGAGACCCAGGTGCCCTGGACTGGAGGCTGTCAGGAGGCAGCCCTGTGACGTCATCACCCCACCCCATTCCAGGTGGTCCTGCTGGACTCAAAGAAGAAGCTGGCCTGCGGGGCAGTGCTCATCCACCCGTCCTGGGTGCTGACAGCGGCCCACTGCATGGAGGACTCCAAGAAGCTCCTTGTCAGGCTTGGTATGGGCTGGAGCCAGGCAGGAGGGGGCTGCCAGAGGCCTGGGTAGGGGGACCAGGCAGGTTGTTCAGATTTGGGGGACCCCGCTCCCCAGGTGCTTAAGCAAGAGGCTTCTTGAGCTCCACAGAAGGTGTTTGGGGGGAAGAGGCCTAGGTGCCCCCACCCTGCCCACCCCTGTGACAGCTGGGATTTTGCAGTAGGGGGTTCTCTGGTGCCTAGCGTCTGCCAAAGCCACAGGCTGCTTCCCTAGCAGGCTGGGGGCACCTATGCATTGGCCCTGATCTATGGCAGTTTCTTCGGGGGGGGGGAGGGGTCTGGCTCAACTCTTTATGCCAAAAAGAAGAAAAAGCATATTGAGAAAGACCAAATTCACATTTCCTACAGCATAATCTATGGCCAGTGGCCCCCCGTGGGGCTTGGCTTAGAATTCCCAGGTGCTCTTTCCCAGGAACCATCGGTCTGGACTGAGAGGACCTTCTCTCCCAGGTGGGACCCAGCCCTGTCCTCCCTGGCAGTGCCGTGTTCTGGGGGTCCTCCTCTCTGGGTCTCACTGCCCCCGGGGTCTCTCCAGCTACCTTTGCTCCACGTTCCTTTGTGGCTCTGGTCTGTGTCCGCGGTTTCCAGGGGCCTCGGGCTTCCCTGCTGCCCATTCCTTCTCTGGTCTCACGGCTCCATGACTCCCGAAAACGGACCAGCCTCCTGCCACTTCGAGATTGACATCCGTTGGCCACTCCTTGTGGCAGGAAAAGTCACCGTTGATAGGGATCCGTGGCATAGACAGGTGGCTCCCCGACAGCACCTGGGACGTGTGGGTGCAGAGTCTCCGGGTGGACCTTCTTCAGGCCCTCTGCCCAGGCCTGCATGGGCACAGCAGTGGGTGGGCCTCGGGAAAGTGCCGCTGGGGAGAGGTTCCCCGCAGCCCATTCTGACCGGGCCCTCTGCCCTGCAGGAGAGTATGACCTGCGGCGCTGGGAGAAGTGGGAGCTGGACCTGGACATCGAGGAGGTCTTCATCCACCCCAACTACACCAAGAGCACCACTGACAATGACATCGCGCTGCTGCGCCTGGCCCAGCCCGCCACCCTCTCGCAGACCATCGTGCCCATCTGTCTCCCGGACAGCGGCCTTGCAGAGCGTGAGCTCACTCAGGCCGGCCAGGAGACCCTCGTGACGGGCTGGGGCTACCACAGCAGCCGAGAGAAGGAGGCCAAGAGAAACCGCACCTTCATCCTCAACTTCATCAAGATTCCCGTGGTCCCGCGCAATGAGTGCAGCGAGGTCATGAGCAACATGGTGTCTGAGAACATGCTGTGTGCGGGCATCCTCGGGGACCGGCAGGACGCCTGCGAGGGCGACAGTGGGGGGCCCATGGTCGCCTCCTTCCATGGCACCTGGTTCCTGGTGGGCCTGGTGAGCTGGGGTGAGGGCTGTGGGCTCCTTCACAACTACGGCGTTTACACCAAAGTCAGCCGCTACCTGGACTGGATCCACGGGCACATCAGAGACAAGGAAGCCCTCGCCAAGAGCCGGGCACCATAGCGACCCTCCCTGCGGGGTTGGGCTTTTGCATGGCGATGGATGCGACATTAAAGGGTCATGTAACAAGCATACCGCCTGCTGTTCTGTCTGTCCTTCCATCCCTCTTCTGGGCACTTCTGGAGGGAAGTACCAGTTATTGAGCACCTATTATATGTCACATGCCTTATAAATAGAATCTTAACTCCCAGAGCAACTCTGTGGGGGGGGGGGGGGGAGCAGATCCAAGTTTGGCAGGGTCTAAAGCTGTGTGTGTTGGGGGGGATACTCTGTTTATGAAAAAGAACAAAAAACACAACCACAAAGCCACTAGAGCCTTTCACAGGGCTTTGGGAAGAGCCTGTGCAAGCCGGGGATGCTGCAGGGGAGGCTTGACCAGCTTTCCAGCAAGCCCAGCTATGAGGTAGATACGTTTAGCTCATATCACAGAGGAGGAAACTGAGGGGTCTGAAAGGTTTACATGGTGGAGCCAGGATTTAAATCTAGGTCTGACTCCAAAACCCAGGTGCTTTTTTCTGTTCTCCACTGTCCTGGAGGACAGCGGTTTCCACGGTGCTCGGTGCGGAGGCCACCATTAGCTCTGTGGGGAAGCAGCCAGAGACCCAGGAAGTGTTGGTTCAGCCCAGAACGAGCGCACAGTGTCGCGGGGGGAAGCTGTTTCAGAACAATGTTACACCATCACGAACAGCAGTAAGAAAGAGGCTCTGGCTTAACCTGGCCTCATGGGCCTAATTGCATGAGACAGAAATAAGTCAAGGATGCTCTGATTTGAAATCATGAAGTACCTGATGAAAATGAATGGTGGTGAGATAAAGCTGAGAAAATTCATCTAAAGCCCACAATCAGCCTAGCTCTCTGTGTGGTCTCAGGCAAGTCTCTTCTCCTCTCTGGGTGTGACGGTTAATTTTAGGTGTCGATTTGACCGGATGAGGAGATACCCAGATGGCTGGCGAAGCACGATTTCTGGGTGTGTCTGTGAGACGTTCTGGAGGAGATGGGTCACTGAGTGGATGGACTGTGTGGGGAAGATCCGCCCTCAGTGTGGGCGGTCACGACCTAATCAGCTGGGGACCCAGATGGAATAAAAAGGCAGAGGACAGGTGAATTCTCTGTCTCTCCTGGAGCTGGGACACCCTTCTCCTGCCCTTGGACATCAGTTCCAGGTTCTCAGGCCTTTGGACTCTGAGACTTACATCAGTGGCCCTCCAGATTCTCGGGCCATTAGCCCTGTACTGAGGATCCCGCCATCAGCTTCCCTGGTTCTGAGGCCTTGAGACCTGGACTGAGCCAGGCCGACTTCCCTTCTCAGCTTGCAGGTCTGCCATGGGACTCCTCAGCCTCGATGACCACAGAAGCCAAATCCTTAGTGAGCCCCTTCTCATCTATCTGTATCTATATACACATCCTATTAGTTCTGTCTCTGGAGAACCCTGACTAACCCAGGGGACATCAGTAAACTGAAGGGATTGGATGAGAGCAGTGGTTCTACACCCTGGCTGCATATTTGCATCTCCTGGGGAGCCTTTTTTTTTTTGAGATGGAGTCTCACTCTGTCTTCCAGGCTGGAGTGCAATGGCACGATCTTGGCTCACTGCAACCTCTGCCTCCCAGGTTCAAGTGGTTCTCCAGCCTCAGCCTCCTGAGTAGCTGGGATTACAGGTGCACACTAGTAGAGATGGGGTTTCACCATGTTGACCAGGCTGGTCTCGAACTCCTGACTGACCTCATGATCCACCTGCCTCGGCCTCCCAAAATGCTGGGATTACAGGCGTGAGCCACCATGCCCGGCCCTGGAGAGCTTTTAAAAACACTGATGTCCAGTCCCCTCACCCCAGAAATGCTAATTTAACTGATTGGGCCGGGGGAGTGGGGACCCAGACATTGATATTTTTACAACTCTCCATTTCAGTTTAATGTGTTCACTGGGGTTGAAAACGACTGGGCTAGGCCGGCTGCTGTGGCTCATACTGGTAATCCTGGCGCTTTGGAAACCTCAGGCAGGAGGATCGCTTGAGCCCAGGAGTTCAAGGCCAGCCTGGGCAACATAGGGAGAACTTGTCTCTATTTAAAATAATAATAAATCAATAAAAATTGACCAAATGGTCTTTAAGGGCCTTTCTTCTCAGGTAAACTCTAGTTCTAAGACTCTCCAAGTTAACGAGGATAAAGCCAGTTATCTGAGAAAGCAGTTGCGGCCAGACCAGAGGGGACACCAGGATCCACAGAGTTAGTTATCTGTGTGTGGTCACAAGAAAAGAGACCTGCCCGAGTTGGGGCCTGCGGGATTCTCCTCCTTACTGACCTGGGGGAGGAATAGGTGGGGCTGCCTGGAAATGGGAGCAATCCGTGCCCGGGGCTGGAAGCAACTGCCAAATGGCACAGGGCCAGTGCCCACCACAGCTGTCTCTTATACACATCTAGATGTGTATAAGAGACAGCCACCACCCCAGTCACTTTAAGGGAAGAAAGTACTTCGATATACTTGTAGCACAACATGTACCAGGTCTGTGTGACAAAATTTACAAAATGCCGGGAATGTCCATTCTCCCAAAACTGATCTACAGATGTAATGTGATTCCTATCAGAATCCCAGTGTGTCTTTTTGTGGACATAAACAAGGTACTATATGTGTGTGTATGTGTGTAAAAGACCTCAGATGACTAGAACGTTTTGGAAAAAAGACGTAGGAGAAATCACTATAGCCGGCGTCATGGCTTGTTGAAAAGGTCCAGTCATCAAGACTACGTGGTGCTCATGGAGGAAGAGACACACAGATGGAGCGAAACGGAGACACTGGAGCGAGACCCACACAGCTACAGCCTTTTGATTTTTAATAAAGATACACAAGCAATTCACTGGAGGAAGGAGAGGCCATTCAACAAAGGGTGCCGGCACAGTAGGGCCTCAATAGGCAAAAAAGTGAACCTCAGCCTATATCTCTCACCTCATACAAAAATTAACTCAGCATTGAACATAGGCCGGGCGCGGTGGCTCACGCCTATAATCCCAGCACTTTGGGAGGCTGAGGCAGGTGGATCCCCTGAGGTCAGGAGTTTGAGACCAGCCTGGCCAACATGAAGAAACCCTGTCTCTACTAAAAATACAAAAATTAGCTGGGTATGGTGGCACACACCTGTAATCCCAGCTACTCAGGAGGCTGAGGCAGGAGAATTGCTTGAACCCAGGAGGCGGAGGTTGCAGTGAGCTAAGATGGTGCCACTGCATTCTAGCCTGGGCGACAGAGTGGGACTCCATCTCAAAAAGAGAAAAAGAAAAAAGAGAGAATGGAACTTAGGTGTAATATAAAACTGTGAAACAAAACAAAAGAAAGTACAGTTGATGGAAACTGAAATAAGATGAAAATAATAACAATAAATGTAATTAGGTCAAGCTTAGCAATTAAAAAGATAAATCTAAGAATTAAAAATCCAATGAGACAATATATTGATTTGAGACAACTTAAAAAGCACCAAAAGACTGAAAATAAAGAACGTTAGAAATACCATGTAACTTTGAATGAAAAGAAAGCTAAGATAGTGATCCTAGTAACTAACACAATGAAAATTAAGAAAAAAATACCATAAAGAACAACGATGGACATTATATACAGAAAAACTCACTCACATGTAAAGATCTAATTATTTTAAAACAATACGTGCCCCTGCAACATAACCTCCACATACTGCACACAGTGTGACATTTGACAGAAGGGAAGAATAAACGACTTTTACTTGTATTTGGAGAGTTTTTAAAAAAATTCTCTTATAAACCAATAAATCAAACAGATTTTTAAAAAGTGGATATGTAGATGATCTGAACAGTAAAATGAATAAGCTTGAGCGATTCTTTTTGTGTGTGTGACAGAGTCTTGCTCTGTCGCCCAGGGTGGACTACAGTGGTGCAATCTTGGCTCACTGCAATCTCTGCCTCCCGGGTTCAAGCGATTCTCCTGCCTCAGCCTCCTGAGTAGCTGGGACTACAGGTGCCCACCACCATGCCTGGCTAGTTTTTGTATTTTTAGTAGAGATGGAGTCTCGTCATGTTTGTCAGGCTGGTCTCGAATTCCAACCTCAGATAATCCACCCACCTCGACCTCTCAAAGTACTTGGATTACCGGCGTGAGCCACTGTGCCCGGCCGAGCAATTCTTTTTGAGCACACCAGGAACATTTACAAAACTATACTGGACCATGAAGAGAGCCTCAATAAATTCCAAGGGATCAATATAATACAGAACATGTCCTCTAGCTAAAAGGCAATAAAAGTAGAAATTTCTGATGAAAAACTTTTAAAATGCCATGTTTGCAAACTAATTAATGTATTAGCAGGCAATCATAAGATAAATTAAGAAATTGTGGCCGGGCGCGGTGGCTCAAGCCTGTAATCCCAGCACTTTGGGAAGCCGAGATGGGCGGATCACAAGGTCAGGAGATCAAGACCATCCTGGCTAACACGGTAAAACCCCGTCTCTA